AAAACCATTGTTTATGGTATTTTTTTTAAATTTTATGATATTTTGTTTACAAACCCACTTGGAGAGATGAAATGATATTCAATTTAAGGATGGGTGGGTCATGATCAGATATCCTGAAGAGATATGGCATATAGAAGACAAATTTCATTCCATGAGAAGAGGCTATAATTTATAATTGGCAATTTCAGTGTGAAATATTGAGAGACCTTCAAAGGAAAATTATTAACATCTCTTATTCTTCTGTTTGTTTTAACTTTATTTAATGTTCAATTTATACCAAACGCTACATATAAGAATAAAAAACCTTGTTGAAGTGAAAATGTAAAAAAAAAAAAAAATGTATGGCCTCTTACTTTCATAGAGAAATTCAAACCTGTTGGGAAGAGGGTTAAGAATATCGAGAAACAGTTCCACAACACCACGAAAACATCTTCAAATGTTTGCATTATTAGAATAATTATGATAATTATCAAAGTTAACTTTAACTGTTATCTATCAATAAAAATGAAAAGTGTTTATGTGAAGACGAGATAAAAAGAGTGAAATCTGAAAAACACCCTTAGCACACTGTAGGTGACTATTTTCAACAAAATGTTAGTCCTGCCAATGCAAGTTGAATTTCCTGGTTGTGTAGTCATATTCTTCTATGGCAACACCTAAAACAACCTTGACTGAAATTGAGAACCATACTACTGCAATTTCAAATATATGGAATTAATATATAAAACACTATATTTTCAGGGGATCCCATATACAGTATATCATGCAGAGTGATAAATGATTTAAATAAGACATTACTGTTACTGACTAAGTATTTTAGCAGGGATTTCCTTCAGCCATATTTCAAGATTTTTGCTAAACCACATCAACTGAGGACAAACTTCCACATTTATATCCTTTCAAATATGGCTTACAAGTTAGAACAAAGGACATCAGTTAATGAGGTTCTATGCCAATTTTCAGAAAAAGAGAAAGAGTAAATGATTTTGACAAACCCAACCATTTTTGTCTAAAGAGACTGATAGTTTAAAAAAAGAAAAAACTTATTTTATGACTTTTATCTCATAATCATATTTATCTCATAATCATGTTTATCACATAATTATATTTATCACATAATCGTATTTGTCACATAATCATATTTAACTCATAATCATATTTATCACATAATCATATTTATCTCATATCATATTTATCACATAATCATATTTATCTCCTATCATATTTATCATATAATATTTATCTCATAATCATATTTATCATATATTCATATTTATCTCATAATCATATTTATCCATATCATGTTTATCCCATAATCATATTTATCATATAATCATATTTATCTCATAATCATATTTATGATAAAATCATATTTATCTCATAATCATATTTATCCATATCATATTTATCCATATCATATTTATCTCATAATCATATTTAGCCATATATTTATCACATAATCATATTTATCCATATCATATTTATCACATAATTATATTTATCTCATAATCATATTTAGCCATGTCATATTTATCACATAATCATATTTACCTCATAATCATATTTATCACATAATTATATTTATCACATAATCATATTTATCACATAATCATATTTAGCCATATATTTATCCCCTAATCATATTTATCTCGTAATCATATTTAGCCATATCATATTTACCACATAATCACATTTATCACATAATCATATTTATCTCGTAATCATATTTACCACATAATCATATTTACGACATAATCACATTTATCACATAATCATATTTATCTCATGATCATATTTATCCATATCATATGAAGTTTATTTTTTGTGATCAACAGAAAGAATAATATAAGAGAATTTTTGAATTTATAAGGTAAAATCTACAAAAGAAAGAAAGTGTTAATAAGTTGCCAAATGTCGATGCATGGATTCCTTTCTGCTCAGTTCACCTGATATAAGGATTGCCTTGTATTGAACCAATTTGAAGTAAAAAATGATTTCAGCCAAAGCATAAGTAAATGTCCTGGTTGAAATCATTCTGTCAGCTGGCAATAAACTGATTCATGTCAATTTAAATTTTCAATGGTAAGCTTTTAAGTACATGAGTAATGTAATCTACCATTTTTGTGAAAACATCTCATCAGAATGAACCAATCCCAATTGACCTCTCCTCGAAAATGAATGAGAGGATTGACCTCTGAATTATGAACAGGAAAAGTTTTGTGTTGAAACAAAAAATACAAGTTGGATACCAACATTAGAAGCTTTCATTCTGCCACTAAAACATCTTTTCATCTGGCCTATATATCATACTTTTACCAAAGTGGCAGAATTTTTCTCAAAGACTGTGATTCCATCAAATGGAAAAAAAATGTTCAAGATTTTTATTTTCCACCTTTTTCTTTTCCTTTTTTTCCCACTTTACAGATCTTTGCATCAAATAAAACGGCACAAATTGATCCTTATTTTGCTTAGCCTAGCATAAGACTCCAAATTCTCCACCACTTAATTTTAGTTCCTAATTCTGGCAAATAGAAATGAATATAAAAAACAAAAAGTAAGGAACTTTCAAACCATATATAAAAATAAAGGTTTGGCTGCCAAAGAAAATGAATGTCAATGTAATCATACCAATTACCCAAATCATGTTCGATATATATTTTCTTGTCAAGAATTAACAAAAAGACTTTTAGTTTGGCTCATTCGACTTTTTCAATGCAAGAGAACTTTACAGAGAGTAACCCAAAATCATGACAATCAAATCTACTGGAAAATGTCTATTTACTCCAATGACCCTAAAATGCTAATTTTAACAATTCATTTAAATGGAATTATTTTCCAGAATTTTTTAAAACCTCAATTCTCTAAAAGAATTTGTAAAAGATAGGGCAAAGGTGAGATCATTCTTCTGCTACTTCTTAGTGTATAAAATAAGTATACAAATATATATGTATACAAATATATATGTATGCAAATGTCACCACCATTAACGGACAGAAGTAGGACCAGGGGAGGCTTTATTAAATGTTTCAGCATTAATTTTGATTTTCATCCTTCATTTTCTATTTATTACCTAAACATTCATAAATTGTAAAAAAAAATATCAAGCCTTAAAGTTAACGTCATTTAGAAAATTGGTAACGTTCACGAACTGAAAAGGCATCTTTCAGAAATATTTTAAAGCAACAAGAGGAAACAGAAGATAGGAATAGGTATGGCAACATGCTTTCAGGATAAATTTCAAACAAGAAAAATAAAGATGACAAGAGTCCAGAGAATCCATATTTATTAGGGAATTGACATGTACAGATAAAGAAATTGTGTGCATGTCACAAGACAACAGAAATGAATGCAGAATTGCAACACAAACAAATTCTCTCTCCAAAGAATTTTTATCAATTTTCATTTTTTTTTTTTCGATCAAGGGAATTTTCAGTGAAGACTACATACAGTGATGATTAATTTCAACTTTTACCATGATGATGATTTTCTTTTGACTAAGGAATGTGGGGAAGGAAATAATTCTGCAGACTAGAGAAATTTTCTTAAGAGAAAAAAATAAAAAAAATAAAATCAATATATATATAATATAATATATATATATATATATATATATATATATATATATAATTGGTCAACTTAAAACGTTGATCATTTAATTAAATTTTCAAGGAAGAAATTCCCAAAACAAAAAAAATCAAGGATAAATGGTTGCAGCAAATTTTTTTATATCCAACCCACCTTCTCTACCCCTGGAATTGTTTTTTTAATTTTCTGCTTCATCTCTCTTGGTAATTCAAGTTCTTTTGATTGAGGAACTGAAGACTCCTGACAAGTCATTGCACACATAATAATAAAACAACATGTACAACATTTTATTTGAATTGAATGTTTTGCTTTCAAAGAATTCCTGAGAGAAAAATGATATCATGGTATGATAGTGACTGTTTTGAAAGTCAGAACTTGAATCGGTTTTCCAGTTGTCTATTGCATACAGGTCAGTAGCAATAGCAAATCAAAGTTCGCAATGATGGCTCAAATGGTAAAAGCAGCATCACTTTTGTTCTAAGAGATATGACTAATAGGAGGGACACAGTTACACAAAAAGTTTAAATTGGCAAAGTGATTAGTGTTTGCTTTTTATCGAAAGGGAAGAAAAAATGTTGAAAGTAAGTCTTCACTATTGCTGTCCACACAAAATTCTTTATTTGCAAGACGGTTCATCTCACTCCATGAAAAAACTCGTACAGCTTAAATCAACTCAGGATTTGAAATTGTTCAGACTTTAAAGCAGTTTCAAAAATCAACGTCACAAAATGAATAAATGAATGAGATAATTTTTTTTTTTTTTAAACGAATTTAAAAATGAGAGAAAAATGGAGCTTGGATTTCTGAGGTGAGACTGAATGAGAATTTGAAGCTAGTTGTGGCATTAAAAATGCACTTGTGGGTGGTACAAAAAAAAGGTTTCACAGGGCTAAAGTCGAGATTAAGTGCTGCAGAAGAGACAGTAAAGAAACAAAAGTCTGCTGCGCGTTTTGTTGAATGACGTCAAAGGAAGGTTCACACTAGCAAAACTGGATCCTTCGTCAGAGCATCATTAGAAGAATTTCCATTACAAAAACTACAGATCATTAAAGTCAATGAATCTTCCTTTTTTTTATCCTTCCAAATTTTCTCTTTCTTACCATAAACTCAAAATACTTTAAGCATGAAAGATACTGACAGTTCCAAGAGGTAGGCAAATGGCAATTCAGCATGTTTTGGTCAATGAAATAACAAAAGAAAAATATAATTTTAGAAGACTGAAATGTGGTAAGCTATAAACATGACATTTTTTTTTCTTTTTCCACTGAAAGTTGCTTCTTCTTTTGACAAAGTTCTTCTTGAACTTGTCAACAAACTCAAATTGCCTGGCTAACACTCTTTCATGCTTTCACAGACGTACTGAGACCAATATGCCTTGGCTCTTTCAATCAGCAGGTTCAAGAAATCGCACAGACCTTATATTCTCTTTGGATTTCTTCTCAGCTTCCTCACAAATTTGTTTCACACTCTCTTGAAAGCTTTTCTCACACTGAGCCATTTTCATCTGATACTCAACACCAGTCTTCTCAAGTTCAGTCTGAAAAATCAAATATAAATAGATAAAAAAAATACATATACTAAATATATACTAAACATAAATATTAAACACATCCATTGAATACAATATGAAAATTTGTATACACTTTTTAATTCTTCCAATTCTGCAATTGCAGAATACCTAATAAATAATCCAATTTGTGCTTCGGTCTTTTAACAGAGAATTTTTCTCAATTGTCAGCAGAGTGTTTTCAGATTACTGTTTCAGAATGCAAGAGAGACTGTTTATATTAAGTCTAAAAATAGCAGGACAGACCAGGTTCTATAGCCTTGGATGGCAACTGGACTACCACAGAAAGAAATGGCAACCTAGTACGGGAATAAATTTGCCTTGTCAGTCATGTATCGAAAGATACATGATCGCCTAAGTGTGTATCACACATGACACATAACTGACTGAGCCTTCTCTCTGTAAAAGGAAGGAATGATTCTCCACAAGTATATTTTTTACTTCTTCCTTTTTTAGTCATTGTGCATTTATTTATATGTTTTGTCTTCGAGTGAGCTCTGAAGAGCGAGGAGCAATAACTGATGAGCTATTATTTTTATCATTTCTTTTTCATTACATTTTTTTGTTACATTTTTCAATATACACATTTTGCAGTGAGTAATATTTGTTTCTCACCCTTGCTCTTCTTCTCCACTCTTAATATATTGGCCTATATTATGTGAATGTATACTTGTAAAATATTCATTTTTAAAGCCATAATTTAAACATTGTGTAGTACATTGTGAAAATAAAATGTCAATTTATATTCCAAAATTAGAAATGGTATAAACTGCAACCCAAACATCATCAAATCTCAAAATCAAACTCATTCTTTATTGTCATTATATTTCATTTCGGTTCATGTCTAAACAATTCTTACTTTTAAACTAGTCTGTTATTTCTGTCTGAATTTCTAGCAAGTGGAGTTACCATTATTTACATTAGTAACATTTAGACTATTGTCCTTATCTTTGTTGTTATTATTATTACAAGAGTTTGCTCATTATGCAAGCTAGGCTTCTTCAGGGGTCAGTAACCTTCAGGAAGTTTCAAGTTAAACCCTTTATTTAATCTACAGGGGTAATGTCAAAGCTTGGGCTATGGATTTACATATCTCAAAGGCATTTGACAGGGTTTGGCATGCCGGTCCTATTCACAAGAGTTCTGGTGTTTCTGGCTGACTTTTTGATTTGATACAATTGTCAGAGTTAGCTCCTCCTCAGCTCCTTAACCCTTCACCAGGGGTCTCTCTCTCCCCTGGCTATAAATACTGGCTGACCCTTTGCCTCGATCTCTCTTTTCCCTCAGGCCTTGGACCATTACCTCACTTTGAGGTGAGGTGGTAAATCTTCTCTCATTTCAGCTAACACCAATATGTGAACTCTCACAGATACAGCATTTCCAAAATTCTGGGAACACGCTAAGACCAATACACGTACGTACAAACACTCACCACAACACACACACATAATATTCACCACACAAACTCAATGTAACTTGTACTTGTAACTTGTACTTGTTGTTAATACATATATTTGTTTATATATATTTATTTGTTTTCTTTGGACTTAAAGTCCAACTTTCTCATGTAGTTGGACTGGCTAGCAGGAAATTCTACCCACGTGTGTTTTTCTATAATACATCACATCTTCACCGCAACTGTCCGCTACACAATCCTTCTTCTCGAATCACGTAATGAAATTTATCTTGAATGGTTACTCTTCTGGATCTTTTGCATAAATGTGGGCATTACATCTTCAGACCTACTTTATTTACCATTTTCATCAATGACGTACACAATGTCTTATCAATTTCCAACTATCTATGCTGCTGATACAACAATTTATTCCTATCTTAAGAGTAACTCTGAAGGGTACGATAACATCAAATAAACAACTCATCTAAAAAACAATCAGTTGTTAACTGGGGTAAGAAAAGGCTTGTTCATTTTAGCCACCCCCCCAACCAAATAAAACTACTATCATCTTTTTTACCTTCCATCAGCATGAGGTGGAATGATTGCATTGAATCAATTGTTAAGTCTGCTGCAAGAAAAGTCTGTTCATTATATCATCAGTCAGTTATATGCGATGCGTGATACATGCTTAGGCAATCAGGTATCTTTCAATACATGGCTGATGAGGCAGATTTTTTTCCCACAGTAGGTTACCATTTCTTTCTGCAGTAGACCAGTTGGCATCCAATGCTATAGAATCTGGTCTGCCCTGCTATTCAACTATATCTGGGGGGAGAAGAAGAGGATTCATACCTTTCCCAAGGGTATTAGCACGTAAGTGAATATAATGGATTCAATTGGAATTCAAACTTGCTACTATATCATACTAAACAATTTTTCTTGTACATTTCTAAGTATACCATTCATCTGTACATCAAGTATTGCTACCACATCTGATATGGTGCTTCTACTAAATATCTAGAGATTCTTAACAAAATCCAAATAAAATTTTGCAATTTTATCAGTCCTGACCACCATAAAATAGCTTCCCTTTGCCTTTTCTATAAATACTTTCATGTTAATTGTTCTGATTATCTTTTCTCTTTGGTACTTCAACTTTACAAATTTATAAATAATAGTTTGTTTTTTTGTCCAGCAAGTGTCACTTCTGAAACTCTCCAGACCTCCTGTTTCCTGTTAAATATGATCTTATAAAAATTGAAATGCAATCGTCATCATTTGTCTCTTTGAATCCTGTTTTTTTATTGTCCTCTGTTTTGTTTCAATTTCAGTAAGCCAACCCCGCCCACCCTTGCATAACGTTATCACTTTGGGGTAAAAACATTTAAAAAAAAAAAAAAAAAAAAAAAAAAAGGAAGATTATTCCAGTTTACACATTTTATGTTATGTGACCATATTTTATAAACTAATGCTTTAATCTACTCAGCTCTTGTTACAACAATAGCCTGGTGTATTGAAGCACATTGATTTGTGAATTTGGTCTCATAGCAATCACGAGTTCAATCTCCAGGCTGGGTAGTGTAATGTTCTGCGCAAGAAGCTATCGATGCCTGCTAGGCGTTGATTAATGCCTTGCTAGGATTTTAGGATGGTTCTTGATTGTCCCTCCGTGATGGTAGCCTCCTATTCTCTTTTTGCTGTGAAGCTGCTGATTAAAATTCACCAGATGTCTGGAGAGGACCTAACTCTTGTGTCTCTATGGGTTATCTCCCTTCTGTTGCTGGGATATTACAATGCTTTTTTTTTTTTTTTTTTTTTTTTTTGAGAGGTTTTTTTTTTTTTGGTCCGCCACAGCCATTCTAAAGCCAAATCTTCAGATGAGCTACTTTCCAAGCCATCTTCGGACTTTCCAAAGCTGCGAGAATCAAGCAAATCAAAATTGGAATCATCAGAATGAAGATCTTCATCACCCTGCAATGTGAGATTCTGAGTGGAAGAAATAGTTATGTTCTGGTTTGGGGAAGAATCGAGGTCTTGGTCAGATGAAGTGTTGGACATTTTCAAACGGCTGGCATCAGTTCTAGAGGTTTTGTCATGAATTTTCTTGCGTGACTGTCTAGGGTGTAGCATTTTCTGGATGGAGTTGAGGGGAGACATGACTTGTGGCTCTGGCACAGACAGTTGTGCACAAGGTGCCGACTTACATTTTGTTGACATCTGTTGGACATTTGAAGAGGAGTACAATGGATTTTGAAAATCTGTTGAAGCAACTGTTGTTGGATGTTTCTTAACTTTTTGATATAAAACTTGAGAGCGTCTTCATAATCATCATTTTGAGGACGCAAATATGTTGCATTTTGTGACAATCTCTTTTTTGTTGGAAACTGCTAGAAGCAGTTGATGAAGGAGTGGCAGGAAAATTCTGTTGACAACATTTCAGCTTCAATTCATTTATTTCACGTGACATTCTCTTCGTTTCTGTGCACAGCATTTTCTTGCATTTGGATGAAGTGTCTCTCCAAAGACAAATGGGATTTTTAAATTAGATTCGTTATCCAAAAGAGATGATAACTGGTGAATATTGGTGGGGGTCATCAATTCTTGTTTATAAAGAGCGTTTTCAGCTTCAAGTTTCTGGACTGTGGAATTGATTTTGTGGAGAGTTTGTGATTGTTCATCAAGTTGCCCTTTTATTTGGTTGGTAAGCCCCAAAAATAAAGATGAACTCCTGTTTGCTGGAGTATCCATTTCAATTGGAGGTGGCAAGTTCCGAGCTCCAGCTGTGTGGAACACATATTCTGTGTCACTACCACTGCTATGTGGGTTCCGTTGGTTGTTTTCAATGCGGTTCACTGAGCGTCGATTGGTCTGTGTTCGTGGGGGACGATTTGTTTCCCGTTGTCTGTTTCTGTCGTTTAATCTTCTGAAGCAGGCAGAGGTGAAGTGTCCCCCACCTTCCGCAATATGTGCACTGGGTATGAAATGCCGGGCAAGATGTCGGTCCCCGCTCATGAGGGTATTTTCGTTGCAATTCCTGCACCGTATTGCGAGGATAGTTGCTTGGTCGGCGCTGTTCATCCGCGACTTTTGTTTATTGGGGCGGTTGTAGCAGTAGCGGTGTTGTTGTCTTCCAGTTGCATTGTTTGTAGGTGCAACGCTATCGTCTCCGTTGTCCTTGCGTAGTTTATTAAGTCATGTAGTGACATATCCGAGTTCATGAGTCCCTTCTGGCGGACTTTTTCCGACAGGCAGCCTGTAATTATTTGGGACTTCACCGGAATCCATGTCGGAAAAACGCACATAGACGCAGCTTCCTTTTAGTTTGCGGTAGAATTCTTCAATGCCTGGGCTATTTTGTTTAATTTTCCGGAACACAAATTGGTTGTATTCCGTGTCGTTTTCGGGTTGAAGTGGTTGTGCACTGCTGAGACAAGCTTGTCGAAATGTGTTACATTTTTTTCTGGTGTGACTCGCTCCTGTGGTATCTCGTCGATGATGTCATTCGTAGCCTCGTCGACAAACGTTAGAAGGATTGCTTTTT